GCTCCCCACATATCTGAAAAAGGACTTTTTATTGTCCTTGATGCTCAAAGCTAGTTGGAGTTCAGTTGCAGCCTTGGCTTTCCTGGTCTGCTCCCTACAGGACCGGACCAGTGCAGAATAATCCTCCTTGGAGGTGACTCCCATCCTCCATCCTTTGTAGGCCTTTCTTTTTAGCCTCAAGAGGTCTGCTAGGTCCCTGGAGAGCCAGGGGGGCTGCTGTGCCCTCTTGCTGCCTTTCCTCCGAGATGGAATAGACTTAGTTTGTGCATTGAGGATCGCTCCCTTGAGGAGCAACCACTCTTCTGTGTAATGTAATTACACAGCAATGAGAAGGTTAGAGCAGTCAGTTCGAACTTCCAGAAAGCAAAGCATCCATTAGACCCTCATTCCTGAGACAGAAATTTTATTGAGAAAGAGAAAATGGCTGAATTAGAAGAAGAAAGCTGATCTCTTACTGGACCACTGCCTATTAAAACAGGAAATGGTACAGACTTGAATTAATCTATTCTCATTATAAGCTTTGTATTTTATAACAGAGCTGCCTCTCCCCACCTCCTCCCCCCCAATACGTGTTTTATACAGACTTAAATGTTGCATACCTTCATTTTTTGCTTTCAGAAACTCAGTGCATTTTATTTTAAACTTATTTGTAGGAAGCCCTAGAACTGACAGAGAATCTGAGATGCTATTTCTTGTAGCAATGGATTGTTTTATTGGTGACCGAGAGGATATCTCATTTCTTAGATTTCTGGCAAAATAGAAAATGCCATAGAGATGCACACACATGACTAATATTTTTATGTATTCCTTATGCTGATTCTTCCTTAAGATTCTTTATGCTTGCTTTTCTGCCACATTGTTTTTAAAAAAAACCAACGTACGGAAATACCACATTGATTAAATATACCATGTGACACAAAGTCCCCATGGCAGGACTTTAACATAGGCCAGGTATAGACACTCAAAAAGCCTGAGGCAGAAGTAATTTAAGTGTGCTTTACTTTAAGTGGCTTAGGTTAGGTTGGGAGTGAACAGAACAGGTGTTTGCTGTTTGGGGGGCAGGGACCCGCAGGCAGAGGACACTCCTGCAGGCCTCCCAGCAGGCTGCCAGAGAATGCCAAGCCTAGCTGAGCAGCTGGCCACCCCGAGTGGCCAGTGCAGTCCCTCTCCCCAGCCTTGCCCCCCCCACCAGCAGCCAGCTGTCCTTGGCAGTGGGGAATGGGATGGGGAAGAATGTAGGCCCCTGCCCTGGCCCCCACAGGCCTGAGCCAGCACACTTGGGGGGTTTGGGGAGGTTGGCATGCCT